CATCACAATCACCACACCGTCGACGTTGCCGCGAACTGAGCAGCGTCGAACGCAGAGAGAGGCGAGGGAGAGAGGGGTAGGAGAAGGTGGGAGAAGGGAAGAGGATGGAGGCGAGAGAGAGATAGAGAGAGGAATGGATGAGAGATAAATTAGGTTGTAGACTGATTTCTAAAAATCAATCTTTAAACACTTGATTTTTTGTAATTTCCCTTAAATTTGTTTTTGGATTTTTAAATAAAATATTATTTAACAAAAAAATTGAAATAATTGTCAGGCCTTCTTGGTCAAGCTTGTTTTAATAAAAGATGATTAAACGTGAAGTTAAAAAATTAATAAAAATTGTGAATCCTATAACTTGTTTGGGAAAGTTTAAAATCCAATTAAAATTGAAAATATAGTCGTTATTGGATCCCACCCGTCTAATAAAAGTCAACAATAACGATTTATTTTTCAATTTTAATCTCTACCAAACATACTTCTATAAAATTTGTAATTAAAATTAATTGTTAAACGTAAAACTTATAATAGTTTACAACTCTGTTTTGGCACATCCCATTATGTGTGTGTGTGTGTGTGAATATGAAAGGTACAAGATTGCATGATTCTTATAAAAGGGTCATTTGACAAAATATTTAGGGCCCGTTTGGTAGGGATTAAAATCAGATTAAAATTGAAAAAATAGCCGTTATTGTTGATTTTTATTAGACGAGTGGGACCCAATAACAGTCATATTTTCAATTTTAATTGGATTTTAATCCCCGCCGAACGGGGCCTTAATAAAAGTTAATAAAATATATGGTTGAGAAGTTGATGAAAGTTTTATGAATTGGTTGCACAAGCACAAATTATTAATATTTAGGATAATTGGCACAATACCCCTAATATTTGTCAGTTTTGTGAAATTATCTCCTAATATTTTATTTTGGAGCAAATTTTCTAAATTATTCAAATGTTGCAACATTTTCGTAATTTTTCGTTGTAAAATGATGAAATTACCTTCTCTTAAAAAAAAAATAAAAAATTAATTGCATCCATAAGATTTGTTCAAAAGGTGCAAGCGAATATTAAATAAAACAATTAAAAAAATTTTAAAAATAAAAAATATTTCTTCTATTTCTTCTCTTTCAAGGGCTAAATATGTATTTAGACAAAAGTCGAGAGATTGTACCAATGATCTAAATATTTATGTCCTTGTTTTTCCTTTTTTAATGAAACAAGAAAAAAGAATTCCTTTCCATTTTTGGTTTTGCAACGTTTTGTTGTCCCTCCTCTCGCCTCTACATCCAACAGGCAATTCCCCGACGTTTCTTCTCTTTTTCCTGTACCCATTAACTGTAGATCTGCACCTTTCCAGTATTCTCAGTTCTTCCTGGAAGAGGAAATTGACTTTTTCATACACACACCAAATTCGTCTTGGTCATTAAGCTGCAAAACCCTAATTATTCCTTGAGTAGGTTTCTTTTACAAGTATCCCCCGATTACTCTCGAGGGAAAATATCCGTTTTCATAGAAAATTTGAAATTTCATGCCAATTTGCTCCCAAAATGCGAATTCTTAAATGGGTCGACTTTTTTCTCCCGTAGGTTTGGTATCTCGGTTAACCCTTCGCAAATGGGGGCTTTAACCATCAATCGGAAGCGAGGTGACGATTATTTCAAATCCCCAGCTCCAACTTCTCCCTCATTTGATCGATCGTACGCTCACGTTTCCAAAAAGCCCAAGCTTCCGAATTCCATGAATCAAATTACCGTTGATTTTGATAGGCCCCTTTCCGCAAAATCTGTGAATTCGAGGATTTCTCAGTATCCGGATTCGAAACCGAGGTTTATGAGGGAAGTTCATGCCCCAGTTCGGAGTCATAGATTTGGGCTTTCGGCGATTAAGAATAAAATTGTGTCTAGTTTAAGTCTTGAAGAAAGTTCATCCGTTAGAATGGGGAATATATATGGAACTCTTAAATTTAGGTTGGAAAAGGCGAAAATTAGTGCAATGAAAACTTTCAGGTATGTAGGAAAAGAGAATGAGTCTGTTGATAAAGAGAAAGAAAAAGAAGTGATTGAGATTGATGACGAGAAGGAAAGTCAAGATGATATGTCGGAAAATTTGAGTGTTCAGGAGGTGGAGGTAGTGGATTTTCCGAGGATCAATTTGAAGGAGGGGAATGGTGTTTTGGGAAATTCACGGGAATTTAAGGGGAAAATGGTGGAAAGGAATTTACACTCGTTGGATTCTTATGTTGTCTCTGATACAAGTGGTGTGAATGTTAAGGTGGATTCTACTGAAAATATGGACTTAATGCTGCTGAACCAGAAACCAGATCTGTCGGGGGTACCTGTTCACAGGAAGCTATATGATTCCGCGAAGAAGAGGAATGATAAGCTGAATAGTTTAAGTTTTGCCATAGAGTTAGAGGAAAAGTCCTTTCAAAGGCTTCAATTACTTCGGCCTCAGAAGAAAGTGGAAGACACTAATAAGGTGACATTTTCTGAAATCACGCCCTCCGGATTATACTGTATCTGAGTGTAATTGTTCGTTTTATTTATTTCCGTATAATGGGTTTCATTGACTTGCAGCATGTGTCCAAAGAATGTTTTATGCCTATTACTGTAGAGGAAGAGGCTGAGGTTGCTAGGGCTTTGTCTAATTCCAATAGGTATCTTTTGTTGTAATACTTCATCTTTAATTGGATTCGATTTCTGTGCATCAATTCAATTGTTGTGCATTTTTTTGCTACTCGATTTATGCAGGAGAAAGGTTTTGGTGAGTCATAAGAATTCTAATATTGATATTACTGGAGAAATATTGCAGTGTTTAAAACCTGGTGCATGGTTGAATGATGAGGTAATTTTGTCTTTCTATTTTTTTTTTGGTGTGTGTGTTGTTGGGAAAATTGAAAAAGATTTTAGTTAGCCGCTAAAGCAGGATGGTTGTGATGACTTTTGTCTGCCCTGGTTTCATTCTTCATGCTTTGCAGGTCATTAACTTGTATCTAGAGTTATTGAAAGAAAGGGAAAAAAGAGAGCCACAGAAGTTCTTGAAATGCCATTTCTTTAACACATTCTTCTATAAGAAGGTCTGTTCGTTTCTCTCAGGCCTTTACTATTTAATGTTCATAATAATATTTTACAGAAATGTTTTATATGCATGCAATTTATATTGAGTAATGTATCAGCCTGTTTGGATTGATAGTTTGGCATTTTAATTTGAGTATTTGATGTTAGAATCCATCATAATGTTTCATCATGTTAAGAACAATATTTATCCATTTCTCATATTTGAGAGTACATTAAAACTTCTTCCTATTTCACATGACTTCTCAAATCTGCTAGGGGTCAAAAGGTGAATATCATCAACTTAGGCATATACATCCTTGAACCCTGTTTGGACGGCATTTTTGGTCAAACTGACATTATCTAACTGATGGAATTTATATTAATTTGCTTTGTTTTTAATTGAATATCTTTCCAGATAAGAGCTTATAATTTGACTTTTACGATGACATAATTTTCTTAATATAGAACATATGATATCTTGCTTGAAAAGGAAAGTTGACCACAGAACGTCGAAGAAAAGAATGTGCTGGGATGAGTATTAAGTTACTCGGCTTATTTCCCTCATGAATTTTTTTAGCCCACAAATTTAGAAAATTTGACTTCGTTACCATGCTGCAGATTCAGATGCATTCATGAAGTGGATTGATTTTTTATTATTTTTACTTATGCTGCTTTGTAGCTTCAGCTTGCCTTAACCTAATGAAGCTCTTTCCGTTATTAATTAATCCAAACCAATTTTGATATTTAGCACTTCCACATTATGGAATTTCTTATTTGTTGACAGCTTAGTTACTTCAATATTTAAGCTTTTTGCAGCTCGTCTCATTCTATCAAGTTCATGTGCTCTGCATGCAT